CATCAAACCGCTGTTGCTCAGAGCTCAAACTCTTGAGCGAGCTCTTAACCAACTGAGCCACTCGGCCGGCCCTTGAACATTTTCAATTACAACTGAAATATTACATTAAACGGGCCTGTACAGGGCAATTTATAATTAAAACAGCATCCCACTGGGGGAAAGAGCCCCTTGGGTATGGTTTTAGAGGTCAAAACCAACTAACCATCGAAGTGGAAGAAGTGATTGTGTTGGTTTAAGCGAGGTCTGCCTTCAGCTGCTGCTACAGGAACCAAATTCTCATCCAAGTTCTCTCCTTGATGGTCTTCCCTGACACGATTATTGTCGGCAATATTAAGGGACATTCTGCATGTTGGGCAGGAGGTGTCTTGTTCTAGCCAGGAACGAAGACAGGAGCTACCGAAAAGTGAAAAATAAGAGATCCTTAGCATGTTTTGTGAGAATTCACCAGCAGTACTACAAATGGATCAAATCTGTTGTCATTTTACTTTCTATTTACCACTAGTGAGGTTTCAATGTTGAGAAACATTTGCTGACATTACTTCTTTGCCCTACTTCACTCTCATGTATTTCTAGTATGTTCTGTGAGCATTAATTCATTAACATACATGGTCATCTGTCCAGCTCCTGGTCATGACCCTTCTTCAGTATGACTTTATCACTTTCCTTGTGTGTGAATCATCCCAAACCCTGGCCTATCACATCTTTGAATCTTCTACTCCACTAATTTATTCTCTCACTCTACTCTAGTCACCAACTAACATATGACAACCTCGGCCTGCTCTTCAAAAACCTGAAGAGCGCCACAGCCAGTCTGAGGTCATGCCCCCACTCCTCTGCTAGGATTAGTCTTGAGCTGCGGCACAGGCAGCTCCCACATGGCCTAGACAGCACTGTGGTCCCAGGGGCCCTTCCTGAAGCTCCTACTTGTGGAAAAGGTGTCCACAGGGCAGTTTCCTTGCAGCCTGCATGGAGTCCCAGCAGATGGCACAGTCATCGTTATTGACAGCCAGCTCCTCTGGAGTTGCAACTGCAAACCTGTAAAAACAAAACGTGCCAAGCGGGAATCAACTCCACAAACATATACTGAGCACCGCTTTACAGACTTCACCTTTTTAATAGCACAGGTACAGAGCAATTCAGCAAAAAATTTCCAACTGTCAAAAACATAAAACCTGCTTTCTCTTCGTAGCCCCTTAATGACCAAGGAAGGGACTTATACACAAAATCTTCGTCTTAACAATGGCTCCTGTTAGTGACAGCTTGAGGGATCATGTCTGGGCAAATCAGAGGTGTTAAGACCTCCCCGAGGGCCATTTAATAACACTGATGATAAAAATAACGATGCAATATATTGAGCACATACTATTGGGTTGTCAGAAAAGTCATGATGCATTTTTGCAACGAAAAACAGAAAAAATACATCATGACTTTTCTGACAACCCAATACATACCCAGTACTAGAATATTCTAAGTATATGACATGTATTATTCCACTGAATCTTCCCAACAGTTCCAGGAACACGGTTCTGCATCACCCTTAGACATGATGCAACTGGGTATGAAGCAAAGTGCACGGATGGCACGGCACTGAGGGAAACGGCACACCCAGGCCGTCTTAATCCAGAGCCCACATGCTTCAGTATTCAGTTACCAGTTCACAAAAGCAAGTTCTCGTATCATCGGGGACCCATTATTATTAAAGATCTAAAACATGCTGACTCACCTGGCTTCCATGTTCCCAACAACACGCAGGTAGTTCTTGTGCCGGCGGACCCGACGCTGGACCTCATGAAACAGGTAGCGCAGCTGCATGAAGATGACCAAGCTGGCCATGGACAGCCAGATGTTGCCAAACAGCTGACCAAAGGGAAAGAGGATAAAACACGCAATAAAATGAATGTCAACTTGCTAGTAAGGGGAGGTGTGCCCCAGAAATCTCGACTGTTGGTGATGGGGAACCGGAACAATCTCCCAGGGAGCAAATGCATGTACTTATCTCACTACCATCAACAGTGTACCTGCTCGTCTGCCTAGTCAGTCCATCACCAGTGATCTTTCCTGAGGAACTAGTCAGAAATGTAAGAGCTTTGTGCAAAAAGATGTCTATCCACAAAAATCATAAAAAAGAAAATCAGGAAATGAACAAAAGGCCCAGCAGGGGAATAGTTAGGTTGTAAACTCAAGTACATAATATTGCATAGTCACTAATTATATTTATTATAAAATATTGTTATATATTGTTTATTTTTTTAAAGATTTTTTATTGGGGAGTTGGGGGACAGGAACAACATTGGGAAATTGGGGAAGGGGAACGGACAAGTTGCTGTCCTTTTTTCAATCTAGTTGTGGAGGATGTCGCTTCACTGGCCCATGTTGGTATCACTGCGCTCTTCTTGGGTGAGGCAGCAGCTCACCGGCCATTGGACAGCCAATCATGGCAGCTCACAGCGGCTCATGAAAGCACATGCCAGCTGCCAACCAGCCCCACTGCAGCCTACGCCGTCACCAGCGACTCATGGCAGCCCAGCTCCAGGTCGAGCTGTTGTTCACCATCTTAGCTGTAGAGGGCGCAGTGTCACTGNAAACTACATACATGCTCCAGCTTTTCTTTCCCTGATGATTATTAATGTTCTTAAAGCAGTGGGTGGTCCTTACCATTGCATTCAGCTGGGAGTTGCTTGCCTGCGTGATGCCTAGAATGTTGGTGGTGTGCATCACTTCAACTGAAAAACTCGGCAGCCAGCTCGCAATCCGGGACCCTAGAGTGAACGAGAACGCAGCACACGTTTTAGAGACCATTCCCCGGGCCATTTCCTCTAAAGCTGGCCACTCCACGGTACCAGCTGGTAGTCACTGAGGACTTACTTTGTGCCAGGCCTTCTGCACATGAGCTTTGCGTGGATTAGCTCATTTAATCCTCACTAAAACCCCACCTGGTACCTGCTGGCATCATTCCCACTTTACTCTTCTCAGAGGTTTGACTCTAGTTCCCTTGGTCGTCGGCACCTTGCCCAAGATCTCACAATTTAATGATGGCAGCCAGGATTTGAAGCTAGAGAGTCAGGTTCCAGAACACTTTACCACCAGGCTTTCCTGCCTGCCGGTGGCCCTGGGTCCACACAGCTTCAATCCACTCTCTCGACCTTAAACGTAAGGAAGGTTTTCATGGCTCTAAAGCTGCTATTACAACAGATGAGCGTTTGCTTCTTTCTTTCACACTACACACAAATACTATTCATTTAGAGACATTTTCACAATTATTTTCATGAAGTATTTTTTCTCCTTAAAAATCTGATTTAAAGACCCTGGTTGTCTGATTCAAATTCATTTCAAAGAGTTCTATGACAGGCTTGTGGACTAATGACACCAAGAAGTCTGCTGCTTCTGCAATTTCTCTAAGAAAAAGAGATCCTAAGATATAATGCCAGCAAGTATTGGCTGTAAAACAACTCAGTATCAAGCCACACATTTAAGGGCAATTTTTCTTTCCTTCACAAAAAAGCACTGACGCGTAGAATACAAAAATGTTAAATGGCTGTCTCAAAGGTCTTACCCAACAAAATGTGCCCGTTAAAAAACTGGATACTTATTTCATATACTTACTATGAAGAAATAAAGTTGATTTTTCTATTTTGACCAAATTTTTAGTAGTAATTCATAAAACAGTAGATTATGGAGTCAGGACCCATGTTTAAGATCTGCTAGTATATTTCAGAAGTCTTACCTGGCAGAAGCCTTAATTAATAGCCACCAAAGCAGCCCCTCTGAGCCCTTCCAGCATCCTCGACCCAACCAGCCAAGCAGCCCTCATCGTCTCTTCTTAGAGACTGGACTCTACTTCCCTCGGTCCTTCCTATCAGGGATTTCACCAATGTGCTGCCACTCCCACCACGCTCTACCCTCGGAAATTCAAATCAGAGATTTAAACAGCACTCCTAACAGAATGCCAGGGGTTCCTGTTTTACAGTAAGTAGTATGAGCTCACAGAATTTAGTGGTATTGGAACTGATGAAATTCAACAACAGCTCAATGTAATATGAATTAAGGATGCTCAATCAGCCCGATACAGTACCCATGGCCTGAGAATTTTAGGTGTGGTTTTTATTCCGACTCCTTTTACCACTGCTGGAAGGCAGAATATTCCTATTTTATGGGCATACAAACCAGGTTCCAGCTCTGCTTCTGCCACTCACTGGAAAGGCTCCTCAATGGCCCTTGATCACGTGCTGAAGTACTACGCCAAGGCCGTAAACGATTACCAGCAGTTAATTATTAAGCTGATCACATGTGCCCCTTTCAGGCTGACTCAGTTTCACTACCTGCTCCCTGTTGCCCCTGCCTCCACCCGTTTCCACACAGAATCTGTTGGGTTGTCGGAAAAGTCATGACGCATTTTTGCAATCAAAAACATAGAAAAAATATGTCATGACTTTTCCGACAACCCAATAGCAAAATGCCTGGGA